GGTGTTACGCTAAGGGGCATTATTTTTCCCAGCAAATAGGCTACCAATATTCTTATTATGGGCCTGGGTTTGGGTTTTCCCGCTGTTCAAACAACTGCTATCCCAGTGCTGTTCCTGAGCGAGCAGCACTGCAGCCGCACCATCCCTCCCCTGCGCTTCCAGCCGGATGGATGGGAAGCGCCGTCCACGCGTTTCTCACGCTGCAGAGTGATGCTCTCTGCTCCAGCCTTAGCCCTCCAGCTCACGCTGCAGGAAAGGCCCATCCTTCTCTACAGGGGCAAGGACAGTTCATGCGACTCCCTCCCAGTATCTCTAGCAGGTCCTGCCCTGCAGATTGGCCCAAGTTGCTGACGGCCCCCACTCCGCATTGGGCTTCAGAGCAGCCTCTCACTATATAGTGCCCATCAGCCGCTGCTCGGCTCTGCCTCCCAGAATAAACCGCATTCAACCTTAAGTTCATCTTGTTCAAAAAAAACTCTTCAGGATTTAGACATACTATCCCGATGAATGATACGTATCTACATTTTTTATCATAGGGAGGAAGACCTCTTTAAATCTGACTAGAGCCTTGCCTGAATTTCCTCCTTTCCCAGCAAGGGAAATCCTGCATGTCCTGGATGAGCAGCCACTGGGTCAATTCGGAGCTCTTTATTCAGACCAAACCCTTTTTCACAATGCAAACCTTGTAGGGAAGCCCTCTCTGTTCTGAATATTGGCAGATAACTTATCTACCTATTTGTATTCTATCCACAATGCACTATAATGCGTAAAGCGCACGGTGTGAGTGAATATCAAGCCTCCAATGAATGCTCTGTTTATACAGCTATATTTGGAGCTCATTTGAAGGGCAGCCACTTTAACTGTTATTCAAAGACTCCCTTTCTCCAAACAATTCATCAGATGCTAAACAAGAACTACCACAAGCCCTAAAGTATTTAGGGTACCCCCTAAAGTACTTAAGGTATCATAGCAGAAACATTTCCCTCTCACGGGAAAAGTTTAAGTTACTTCTGACAGCTTATTTCAAATAAGGAGAAAAAAAAAAAAAAAAGGCACAATCCACCACACGTACAAGCCCAGACTTCTGGTAGAGCAGGAACTGAAACAAACTTTGTTCTGCATCTAAATCCTAGGAATATAGCAGCCAGAAGGAATCATTGTAACTTCCCTCTCATACCTTGTGCTGCACCTGAGCAGACTTTGGCAGATAACCCCAGTCTGTGCAGTAAGCACCACACAAACCTATGCACTTCATACAACAAAATTCAAGAGTTTAGGAATAAAGAAGCTTCATGCCCCAAACAGTTAAACAAGTCAAAGGAAAAATATAAAAGCAAGATACTGTGGAAAAAATAATTAAAATAAATTTTAATAAAATAAATCTTAATTAAATTTTGCTTTTACAAATAAGCTATTATGCTGCTTTGAATGGGGACAAATGTGACATCTTTATTAGTGAGGGTTTTGAATAGGCATGAATGCACTCTAGTGTAGCAGAATGAAGTGTGTTCACATGCTGTAATTAAAAATCTGAAGGGCATGGCTTTTCACGAACATGAAGAGACCTGAGAGCACCAAGCACACCGGGATATTGCTCCTACAGGTCTCAGAGGGCTTGCTTATTTACCTTGGAATTACTCCCCAACCAACGGAGAGGTAGTACAATTCTTGAACACGAGGCCGCCTACAGCAAATGCATCTACATTGGTGACTGTTTCTGAATACAACTGTTTATGCAAACAACTTCCAAGTATAGCTGTTGCTTACAAGTACACATTAGATCCCTTCAGACATCTGTCACCACTAAGGTTACAGTTAATTTGCCTCTCTAAATGCAGTCACAGCATCAACACACTTACTGCAAGTTCTGCCCTTGAAGAGGAGGATTTTTGACCTTGGTTAACCTTGTTGTGAAGGGTGAGCTGCTACAGCATACATTCCTTTAACTACAGCATGAGTGCTGAAAAATCCTCAGCATTGCCTATAAAAAATTAATCGGTTTAGAGCCAGAAGGGACCATTAAATGATATATCATTTATGTCATATATTGTTACATTTTTATGAGTTGTGCTAGACCCAGTAACTTAGTAAAACAAGTTGGTTTTTCCAGAAATGCAATAATTTTTGTTTGCAGGTTGAGAGCTATTTGCCTCCAAAAATAGTTTGTCATAGTGAGAAAAAAAAACCTCCATTAAAAACATATACTCTATTTAGCATTTAAACGCAGTTTGAGGCTACTGTTTTTCCCACAGTGCTTCTCTGCAGGGATTAGGGCCTCTTTTTTTCCTTCAAGGTATTTGCATATTAATCAATGTTAACTTAGTACAATTTGAGTTCTTACACAGCATTTTTCCTCTGCTGAATCATGTGTTGTTCTGTCTTGCCCAATATGTCAGCTTTTGTAAAATAGGCACTCTATCCTGATTCTCTTGAATCATATACATGAGAGTTTTAACTCCTGACCATTTCTCCCCATTTACACAGGGAACATTTTAGCATCCTGATTTTCAACAAAAATATTTGTGTATTTGCAACCTCTAATCCTTGCCTGCTTCCCCATTCCATGGTCCACAGCCTTTAGAGCACAGGCTTAAAAAAAAAAAAAAAAAAACACTTATTTCATATTCAATCCCCAAACCCTGGAACAAAGCTTGAGCTACCCTGGGCCTTTGAACCTTTTGCAGGAACCCCACTTAGACATGTCAGTTCTCCACTGACAGAGGGTAGCTGTCTGGTTAAGACCACTCAGTTATTTAAAGCAACTTGTGGCCTGAAGGTCCCCATTTGTTTTGGCAATAGCATGAAAGCAACTTATTTAAAGCAACTTGTGGCCTGAATTTGTTTTGGCAATAGCATGAAAGCAACATTTTACATGGTCACAGGAAGGTATCCCAAAAAGTATAGAGTACTTTTTTTTTTTTTAAAAAAAGGACAAATATTTTACATGGTCACAGGAAGGTATTCCAAAAAGTATAGAGTACTTTATTTTTTTTTAAAAGGACAAAAATAAAAACCAAAAACCAAACAAACCCACTGAACACTTACAAATCAGCACTATCAGCACTAGTGCAATTTCCCTCAACTTACTGACCTACCTAGCAACAAATCAATAATAATGTTTAAGCTGCACTATGATTTTGATGCATCAGAAGAAATGGTAGAAAAGCAGCCCTTCTTGCTTGAAAAAGTGAAGCAGGTAATATTGGTAAGGATGTCAAATATCCCTTTCCCCATCTGCCCCAAACTTACAGTCCTAAATATGAAGTGGATAGAGACTATGGGCTTGGACAGCTTTCAGGTGAGGAAAAGTTACTTTTGCAGGCTGCTCTGGCTTGCGAGAACTGAAAACAAGCAGAAATCAATTTCTACAGATTCAAGAGACTAATTTGCTAGCTTCCTGATAGCTGAATTCAAAGTTGATGCATTCTGCAAAATCAGCATCTAGCATTTTGTTATGTGGTCATTTTTCAGAAGCAAGTTTGCAGCAGATATCCATCTCCAAAGTAGCAGCATGTTATTCCAGAAAAGCTGGCTAGCTAAATAAAGCTTATTGGATAAGTTATGAATCAACTGAGAAATAACAAAACTGTGCCTTTGTCATTCAGAGTCCAATAACCTTCCCCTGCTTGGCCACATTGCATCAGCACCCAAAGCGTTCATTAATCAATTTTTGGACCACTACAGCATTTTAAGCTGAACAGCTCAGTGAATACAAGAGATAGATTGTTAAATGTGTAACTTGTAAAAGTAAGTTGGCAACATATGTTTGAACATCCAGGCACACAAGTGGTCAGCCACCCACACTAAAGTCACTGCTTGTGGAGAGTTTGGCTTTAAAAATACATATGCCCAACTGAAGCCCCATTAGAGGGCTGTAAGGGCCAGGGAGCCCTTTACAGAAACACATAATTGAATTCTCTCTCTACCGCTTTAGCTGGCGCTACAGAAAATAATTCTTTCGCCAAATCTTGACAGGATTTTCTTTTTTTTTTTCATCCCAAACACTGAATGAGGCTCTCCATGACTACTACCTAATCCAAAAGAAACCACTTGCTTTCACAAAGGCATGATTACTTTTTAAATGGGAAGGAAGTTTTGGTAGTCTATGGATGTGTATTTCAGGAAAGCACCCTTCTGCTTCTCACAATTAACAGTGTGAAGTTCTGGTAAGAGATAGTCATACAACCTGACACCATGTAGAATCATTGCCCACCCCAGTCCATTACTTGTCAGCAACAAAAGCTGATAATGAGTGTGTTCATATGCATCTGTCACATTGTTAGAGCTACAAAGGTAGATAACAGGACTATTAAGGAGCACAGTAACTGCCTTTTATTATGCGCTCCTGTACATTAAGATAACCCGAGTGAAATGGGAGGGGCAGATGACTGAGATAGTCTTTTACCCCTACTCAATATCAAGAAAACACCAATTCGGTTTGTCCCAATTAGGTTAAAATAAAGGAAAGGGAAGCCATTTTAGAACAGTTATGCTGGGAAGATTAGATGACAAATGTAGTACTGACTTCCTTTCTCTAAAGAAAATTTCCTCTTACATCCTGAGATGCCTAGGCATTTTCATCATTTAAATATCTTTAAAAACTGATTGTCTCACATATAGAAACATCAGACAAGCAATTCAAATCTGGAGAAAAAGATCTGGAGAAAAGATCTTTTCCAGATCTTTTCATGATTATTAACTCCACATGTAGTTTGTACTGTTCTCTAAATATAGCTGAAGACCAGCATGCAGTGCCCTCTAATGCAGATAGAAAGAGGAGAAGAAGTTCTAAGCAAAGTCCCAATAAGACCAACAAAAGTACATGACCAGTTATCACTATCATCTCTCAGCTGAAACAGCAGCATAGGCCGGACATGTTAGGAATGGCTGGTATAGGATACCATGTAATTCATTGCAGATTTCCTCAAGCCTTCTGTCACTAGATGACCCTTAAGGATGACTATTCCAGTCTAGCAGTGGTCCTTCTCTTGGTCAACAAGATGCTCCATAATATCTCAGCATCAGCAGACCCGTAGTTCCTTCTCCAAGCCATAAATTTTGGCTTTTAACGTTTTCAGTTCTCCTTGGATTTTATGGGTTTGTCTGTTTCCTTGGCGGACCTCATGCAAAATTGCAAGATCTTGATCTGGTCCAATATTTAGAGTCACCTGCAGAGGATAAAAATAGACTTATAAGAACAGTACAGAGTAATTTGGAGAGTATTACAACAGGGATACAAGAGAGAATTCCAAAGAAATTACTTGGTAACTAGCTGAGAAGATGCTTAAGCTAATGTCACTAGGCATAGGACTAACAGAAAGGTTTTCCAGAAAAAAAAAATCATAAAGCACCAAAGCTTTGATACATCATGGTATTACAGCACTGGAGAAGAAACTTATGCAAGAATGAGTCCAAGTTCACCTATAAACTACTGGCTCATTTTTATTTCCTGAATTGCCTCCTTTGAGTCTCTTTAAGGAAGTTACAATATTTAACAACTTATATTAAGTTGATCTTGGCATATTTTGTCATTTTATATTACTAGCTATAAAGCTAGCTTCTAGCTTTATATTACTATAGCTAACTAGAAGCTTTTTTTTTTTTTAATATATATATGACCATCAAGAGCTTATCCTGTTTAGCTGCTGTGACCAACTTGTTGCCTCTTGAACTGCATGCAATTCAAAAGCTGTTCAAGTGCAACTCCTTGTTTCAGGCCACACCAGAGTCAGCAGTAATGCTGTGCTGGGGAGGAGACTGCTAGATAACCAGCATTCCTGGTGCTGAGCTAGCAGGGTAGGGTCGTATTTCTTGTCACTGTAGAACCAGATTGCCCCATATCCGATAGGGAAGAGTCTTGGAAGCTGCTCCTAAAGCCCTTTATTTTCCCCTCTCAAACTTGACTACCTCACTGTTGTGTAGTTTTTGTTAGAGATTTTAATATGCACATCAGGGAATTTAGTCATGTATAATCATTTTGACCTTAAATGAGATGGATTTAAAAGATCATGATAGAGATTCCTAACAATTGTATTATTTCTCTGCCCTCTTGTGGTTAAATGTGGAAAGAAACTAAAAGATAACAAAACTTTTGCAGTATTAAATAGCACCTCTGCACATTACATTAGAGATAGGGAAAATTGCAGTAATCTGAACATTTTAGATCATCCAGACACAGTGATTCTCAGTTCACCCATACACATCTATTTTTGCACAGAGCTCTAATTCAACAGGAATAGAAAAAACTTGTTTAACACTAACAACTCACTTTAAAGCTTGAAGTTCTTCTATATCATACAGTTCTACAGTACAAATGTTGTAAGATGTTCCCCCCACACTGCAGTACACCATGTTTAGTCCCAAAAATTTAAACTTTTAGCGAGAAAACTGCTTTAGTCTACAGGAATAACTGTCAGAAGCAGATACACAAGAAGTTTCAGACACTGCCAAAAGAACACAACTACTGTATGAACAAAACGATCCCTGGACCAATTTGGTCCATGATTAACAATGGCAAATCTTTTGTGCTTCATAAACATACATAAAAGAGTCACATTTTATCAAGTATTTAAGCAATACATACAAAAGAAATGCTACTCCCCTAACAACTCAGACTCTAGTGAAATATTCAATTTAAATGCTGAGAATACACCTCTATACAGCAAGTCCACATCAGTCTGCCCTCGCAGTAGCCATTACCCTGAAAAGCTGCTTCTCCACATCTTTCAGCCTCTGCCGAAGCAGCTTGATGTCATTTTTGAAGCCTTCCACTTCCATATTTCGGCGTTTTTCCAAGGCTTCATATCGCCGAGTCATCAGCTGCAGGCGCTTTCCCATCTTTTCTGAGCGCTCCTATGGACACAAAAACGCAGTGTGGTTTACAGAAAGAGGAAGATGAACCCCTTTTCCATACTTTGTGTTGTAAGTGTGCAAATAATCAATCCAGGGATGCAAAAATAGCTAACAGTAGAGGATTACAGGATAATTACCTTAAAGAGCTCTCTGCCAACATCTCCCTCCTCGCGAATCCTAGCCAGCTCACCTTCTAGGGTGACACACTGCTCTCTGTACATGTTCGATAGGCGCTGCTCCTGCTTTAGTTTCTCCTGCAGTGACTAGGACATAGGAGGAAGATCAAGAATTAACTCAACAACCAGTAAGTTGAGAATTTCCCTTCCTTTAAAGGATAAATATGAAACAGAACAACTACAGTGTGATAAATAGAATAATAAAATAAATAAATGATAAAATTAATTGGCATCAGAGCTAATGAAATAACTAGGTAGGGAGCCCTCCTACTGCATCTAAAAACACTTCAATTATTAAAACCATTTAGTTAGATCGTCTCTGTGCTCAATTGCTCATCAACAGTTACAGAAAACTTTCTCCATCAAGGAGAACACTGTAATTCTGCTTTTCACAGCTGCTTGCCTAGTACTTTCAGAGGCAACTGCGTTTCAGCAGTTTATGAAAGTGATTTCATATCATCTTTTACCCACTTCAGGTCACCAAACTTTTCCCTGAAAGTATATTACTAAAGGATGAAAAAATCCCAGGTAATACAGAAGAGTGATAGGGACACAGCAATCAAATAGAATTTATTCTCCTTAAAACAGCAAAGACAGAATGTTTTTAGGTTCAACAGCTTTCATAAAAAGGTGGCATGCACAACAAGCAGGTTAACAACTTTCAGTCAGGTCATCTGCCTTGCAAAACTCTGGAGTACCTTTGCTCTAGGCATTAACAAAATGCCCAACAGTCTCTGAGATTTGCAAAACAAAATGCACTGTTGCCTTTAAAATTAGCGCCAGCAACAACGTAACCTGCAGTAAGCTAGTCCAGCTTTGGAACAACTATCGCTTTCTATTACTTGCAACTTTCTATTCAAAGAGTTTTAGAGAGCCTCTCCCCAGGAAAGATTTACCTTGATTTCTCCACTACGGAATCTCCGATCTTCATAATCCTCCTGAGGAATCTTCTTGACATCTCTTTGCTTTCTCTCTCTCTCAGTCTTTTTGCTGATGGGCAGATCCGAGCCTTTGTCAAGTTTCCTCAGCAGACTGTCCTTCTCTGCCATCCATGCTTTCTCATTAGCTCGAGTGTCAAACTTTAGCTGAAGGAAGTCTCGGGTACTCTCATATAAGAGATTTTGGGTCTTATGAAGCCTGTAAAGAGATCCCTGTTAAGTCAATTCACTTTTCCTAGATGTTACTTTAATTTCCCCAGTTAGGGAAAGTTGAAAGTAGAGAAAAAAAAAAGATAGGCGCTTCCTACTATATTTAGATTTTCCTCATTTGATGTCAGTGATATTCTTCCAACATGCAACAGAATTTTTAATATGAAGATTACTCCATCCATCTCCCTCCATATGCCAAGCAGCTGGCTGCATAATTTGCTTTTCTGCCTACTGCAGCAAACAACATAATGAAAACCAGAAGACTGATGTTTAGATTGTTTCCCCTTTCCCCCATCCCATGATTAAATCAAAGTCATTCTCTTGTACTCACTTATCTGTTATATTTTTGATCTTGTCCTGGTCCCTCTGATGCTGGACCTTGGCTTCTTCCATATGAATCCGTCTGTCCTCTAAGAGTGCCTCAAGCTGTTCCTTGGATAATCGTGTCTGTTCTTCCATCTGAGCCTGCAGAGCCTCCACCTGGAGAGGGGCGTAGAGAAGCTGCAGAATAACCTCCTACATAAGACCCAATCCTGTCGTTTTAAGTCTCTTTTAAATTCCAAGATTCAACTTAGACTCCTTGCCCTATAAAGATTTGAAAGATTAAAATTGTATATAGGATGTGATGAATCCTGTAGAACATAGACCTAGCAAAGAACAGTTCACTGACCTAATGAATCACAGGAAGGGCAGCACAATTCTGAGAGACTTCCACAAAATACCTAATCCTTCAGCTTTTCCATGGGTCTCATGTAAGTTGAGTGCCATGTCAATGAGATAGTTCTCAGCAAAGCTTACATTTAAAGACACCATATTCTACTTGATTTCATGGGAACATGTGCTTATAGAAAGCTTCCAGAAACTGGCTTAGGTTCTTAAATCTAAGCTCAACTAAATAAACAGAAAAAGTGGAAATCCACAGCAAGACTTGGGGGTTGATAAGTAAAATGCAGACATACTGATTTTAAACAGCTGGCATAATTGTCTATCAATTGCTGGACAGACAGGAATTATGCCCTTTAATTAGCAAATGTTTTTACCTGGAGTAAGAGTGTTTGATTGTCCGCTTGATATCTCTCAGGACTTTCTAGATTCTCCATACTTGCTCCTGATTTTGAAGTGCTCCTCTTGGTTCCTATTGCAAAAATCTGTATTAGAAATGGTTGAGTGTTCTCTGTTCTGCAGTATTTTTTATTTCAGCAGGAAATACTGCACTGCTGGGATGTAAGAAAGTGCAACTACTAGTCACTAGGGCCTGAGGAATAACTTTTCATCCAGTTTCAAAACTTATGGTGATGATTACCTTGTGTCACCATGTTGCAATACTCGGATACTTTCCTATTTTTCTTGGCATATATGGAAATTAAACTTTTAAAACAGTTTAAGTGATGCTTGTGCAGCTGTCCTCTGCTTATTCATCAACCCCTTAGTGAGTTTGAGGAGCCCACCAGCCAACTTGAATCACCTTGGAAAAGGGAGTTCTTGCAAAGGTATCAGAGCTGTCACAACAAAACCAGTAAGTAAATGCAGAGACTCTAACTGTCTACACGCCAAGTAAGTAGAATACCCCCTCTTGAAAGGATACAGGTTAGAATGGCTGTGCAGTTCAATGCCTGCATACCAAGGTCCCCTCCTCATTAGCCAAACAGATAAAAAACAGTTCCTGTTATTGTCAGAGACTTCCAAGAAGAAGCAAAATGCACTATATGCATATGGATGCATATATGACTGCATCTAAGTAACTTAAACAAGGAAATTGGTTTTCACAGGAACAATTGTTTGGGATACAGGACACAAATACCCAGAGAAGCAAGTATTGATAGCTGTGCTCCTGTTAAATCAGTTTGGTTTGGTACCTGTTCTAGAAATACCATTTCGTTCATGAAGATCCCTGGATGTAGCTGGTCTTTGCAGAACAGTGACCTATAGAAACAGATTAGATCTCAGCTGAATATTTACACTTCTCCAAAGCTGTAATAATCAAGAATTTAAGAGGACTTAAAGTGAAAACTCCAGAAGAATAATGCAAGGATGACATTCACAGAAGTAACATCAGTAATGAAAAACTTCTCCTCCACAACAGCTAGATTTTGACATTTTTGTCTGTGCCTTATTCCATGGCAAAACTCACATTTCATCATACTCTGATATGCCCAAACCAAGTCATTGCTTCCTGTGACATACAGGTTCAACTACATTACTACTCTTATACTACCACTTGAAGAGTTTGACACCATTGCTGAGATGACACACAATTGCCCAGCCGGAATGACTCTTCTGTAGTCTCCTTCTCAGGAGATCTCAGTACCGACCCCAGCATTGCTTCACTCTTTACTGCAGACCTAGCTACAGATTACAGCGGTACCTGGCTGATCTTCAAAGAGTCTTCTCTGATTTTCTCCAGCTCCCTTTTCCTTCCCTTCAGCTTTTCAATGGCCACTTGCCACATGGCCTTAGACTTCTGCCTTACATTTAAAAGTGCAATTTGCTGGTGCTCTGGAGGCATGAGGGACTGGATGCCAACAGCACTGATCTCCAGTTGTTCCTGTTTTGTCTGCAGCTATACTAATAGTGCTACAGATACCTCCTGCTTTGCACTCACTTTTTTTTTTTTTTTTAATTGTGGGCCCGATCTGGTCTATGTTCAGTGTCTAGAATATGGATATTCCTGGGACAGAATATCAAGAACAGTTCTAAAAGCCTTCCCTGTGATCTTACCTTATGTGGAGGTTCCTTGTGAAAGTACGTAACTTCTCCCTTATCTGGTCCCATTAGAGCCAAAAGATGTTGAATTTTTTTTCTATCTTCCAATTCCCTGGAATTCAGAGAAAGGCATCAGAATACTGCTCTCTTAGTCATTTACTAATTAAAACTCCTGATTTTTTTCCCAACAGTCAGTTTGTGAACATACTGCTTTAAAAAAAAGCAACACCTGAAACACACTACTCACATTGCCTATACAATGACACCAATAGCCATTACACTGGCACTTTCTTCTTTTCAAAGATGACATTTCAGCTCATACAGTAATCGCGCATACTAGTAAAGTATTCCAACAAAATAATTTACTAAAAGTCCTGGCAGATATTTTGTTCCAAAGACAAGTGTCCACTGTTTTTAAAGAAGGTAAGATGAGGACTGTGTCTGATTTTAGTCACCCTCTTGAGAAACATCAAAGCACACCAACAAACCCTGACACAAGCTCTTTAAAACCTAGCACAGAGCCTGGGATTAGCACCTAACAGTGCTCCAAAGCAAGTTGGGAAGTCCCTGTCCAGGGGCAGCTGCCACAGCAAGACACACTCCAGTAGCTAAAAGGCATGAAAAAAGGAATGGCTGCCAACATGACACTGCAGGGTCAGGGGAGATCATTTGCTTTGATGTGTGTTTTCTGTCTTAGGGTTTCTATAGCCAAGGGAGGAAATTTCACAACGTTGGTGGAAGCTCTCATTAAGTCAAAACCTCCACATCAAAGCTGGCAACTTGGAATTTAAGCCTGGATCTATGTTCAACCTCTGCTCTTTCCTGCTACTGGAATAGAATGAATAATACACAGAAACATATTTGGCAGCCCAACAGACTGTATTTCAGTTCAAAGACAGATATGATTTTATAGGAGCCAACTGTGTAAAGTGCAGCATAATTGCTTCTCTGGGGACTCCAGATCCCTGCAGAACTAGAACAGAGCACGCGCAACTCTGCTGGAGCCAGTTCCACAGACCCCATCTAGACAGCACACCTGATTTTCAGGCGATCGTTTTCTGAGTAAAGGCGGAGGACTTGCTCCCTCTCCTGGAAGAGGTAGACTTGCATGTCACTCAAAGCCTTTTGCAACTCCACTATCTCTTCTTCTCGCTGACGTACTTCCCACTGCAGTTTGTGCTATGCAAAGAGAAAGGAGCAACTGAAATGACACCAAGATTCAGGCAACACCAGCAAACAGACTATGTGCACCAAGGAAAACCCTGTAATCAGTTTATAACAATTGCAGTTCCAGAGTATTATTTTATACTTCTACAAAGAAAACAGAAACAAAAAACAACAACAACAAAAACAAACAAACAAACAAAAAATCCAAAAAAGACCAGATGAGGGCAGTATTAGAAAATTATTAAAAAGGTTCCAGGGAAAGCATTTGGAAGCCTTCAGAGAAGGCAAGTACTTGAGCGCACACGTGTGCACACAGGCAGGCACCTGCACATGTGTGCACCCATGGGAACATGCCCAGGCAGCCATGCACCTGCACATGCGTGCACGTGCACCCACATTCCCAGACACCTGCATGCACACACAGGCACACGCACACTCACGTGGGTGCACCGCAGCTCACGCACAGCCGCACACAGGCACACACAAACTGGCACCTATATGTGCAGTGTCTCATGATTTTGCCTCTTAAAACACAAAGATTTTCAGGTTTTTGAACGGTACCTTTCATTTATTTGTTGGGTAGGTTTTCCTTTTGCTTCATGACAGAGGACAAAGACAACTAGAATTCACAACTTAGCTACTTTTTCTTAGCTTAGTTCTACCATGCTACTAAAAATCTCAGTATCACCTGTGTATTTTTTTTTTAAAGAGATTTATTCTTTATCAAACAATAAAGCTTAAACAAGCGTATATAGTCTATCACCACTTAAATACTTTTCTCCTTACCTGCTCATCATACGTTTCTTTGTATCTCTCCAGCCTTTTAATCAAATCTTCTTGTTCTTCATCAAATTCAGCAATCTTCCTGCGATAGTATTCCAAGAGCTCCCGCGAGGGGAGGAGGAAAGCAAGACGCTCATTGATGGAGGGAAGAGGAGTAAAGTCCTCCTGACCTGGAGGTGGAGATCCAGTACATCTGGAAGAGATGTGAGAAACTGCTAGCCTGGGCAGAAACAATTTCTAATGACATATAAACTCCAGACAATAATAACTGCTAAAACAGTTAGTGATATGACAACACAGATATCTATTTATTGCGAATTTCAAACACAGGCTAGTATTTCTGACCTCCAAGGAAGTCACAGCATTTATGAGATATAAAAGCTTTCAAATAGATAGTTTGCAGACTTACTAGGCTGCAGAGAAAGGGCCTACTGCTGGAAAAGCAGGAAAGAAAACTACTATAGGAAAAAAAAAGTCTCTTGGAGTATTTGAGGAGGATTAACTTGAAAGGAAGAACCTGAAAAGAGGGCTAGAGAAAGAATGATAAGAGTTCATAGTCTGGCAATCAGAAGAAGCAGACACTACAACAACAACAACAAAAAAACAACTCTAACAGTCATTGCCTGTCTTATTCATCTTCTCTGGGTTTAATTTTGCATATGTTTTAATCACAGAATGTTTGCAGTTGGAAGGGACCTCAGAGCTACTCAAGCAGGATCACATAGGATATGCTGCACAGGACTGTTTCTAGACAGCCTTTGACCATCTCCAGGGATGGAGACTCCCCGGCCTCTCGGGGCAACCTGTTCCAGGGCAATTATTCTCACAATAAGGATTTTTTTTTCCTTGTATTCAAACAGAAGTTCCTGTGTTTCAGTTTGTTCCTTTTGCCTCTTGACCTACTGATGGGCACAACATAAATGAGTTTTATAAAGAATAACTGTTGATTGCTGAGATAACATCACATTACCTAATGGATCAGTCATCATAGCTTTTTATAGCATATGTCCAGGTATTTATATGTTTCTCTTTCCACTGTACATGGTGGCCAAACAGCATCATTGATAGTGAGGGACAAAGAGAAACTTTGGGAGCTTGGGAAAGTTCGGGAATTTGATGCTACAGTATCATATTGAAGAGAATAAGTCAAGTTGAGGGTGTGCATGTGCAGTTACCTATCTGACATTCATTATAGACAGCACATACGGCATTCAAGTACTTATTTTATTTACAGAAACAAACACCAAGTTTGCATGTGCTACTGCACAAAAAAGCCAAGATTTGCTTTGGAAAAAGTATTGTCACTTATGTTGACTACACAAACACCTTTTTATAATACCACCAGTAACCAACATAGAGAAGCCTTCCAAAGGTAGCTAGGGAGATCTTTATTAAACAAACACACGCCACAACCCGACTACCCACACCAGAAGGTTGATCACAGAGCAACCTGGTAGATGACATAGCAGCAGAGCTTATTTTTATAGACTGCTCATCAGAGTTGCTTGGATGGGAAGCTCAGCAGCCTGCAAACCTTACGCACTCCACAGCAGGAAAATATTACATGTGATAATACTTTTTCAGCTACAGCCTCCCCATCAGCTGTACCCCAATCTACCTCAAACAATACGCTTGGAAAAACAAACAGCAGCAAGAGAGGAAAGTTATGCAACTACAAGGCAACTAATTCGTGACTGAGGCAAAGAAGAGCAGAAATTGAGAGAATGGATGAATTAAAAACAAACCCTATAAGAGAACCAAGAGAAGCCTGTGCAGCAGGCAGCAAATAGGAGCTCAACTATGCAGGGCTCAGCGTCGGGACCCGGCCCGCTAAGGGCAGTGCAGCAGCGGAGAGGGACACAGTCCCCACGGTACCTTCTAGAGGGCGGAGAGGCCCCTGGGGAGCAGCCTGTGGCGCTCCTGTGGGCGGCGCGGACACGGC